GGAACTTAGTTGTTAGTGGGAAGAGGCAAAATAAACAAGTTTGCAAGTTGTGCTAGCAGATAGCAAAAGAAAGAGTTGATAGCAAGCAACAGGAGGGGGCCAAATTTAGACAGGGTGGTGAGGTAAGGCCTCTCCAAAAATGTGGGATGTGAACTGAGGTCTAAAGAATGAAGAGGAACCAGCCATGGGAAGAAAGTAGTGAAGAACACTCTGGCAGAGAGAAGAAAAAGTACAAAGGCTCCCAGGTGGCAATGGGTTTGACCTATTTGAAGAAGAAAAAGAAGGCCAGGGGCCGGCCCCATGGCTGAGTGGTTAAGTTTGCGTGCTCTGCTGGGGTGGCCCAGGGTTTCACCGGTTCAGATCCTGGGCACGGACATGGCCCTGCTCATGAGGCCATGCTGAGGTGGCATCCCACATGCCACAACTAGAAGGCCCCACAACTAAAAATACACAACTATGTACTGGGGAGCTTTGGGGAGAAAAAGGAAAAATAAAAATCTTTAAAAAAAAAAAAAAAAAAGCTGCAACATTAAAAAAAAAAAAATGGAAGAAGAAAAAGAAGGCCAGAGTAGCTGAGTACACTCTCGGAGGGGGAAGATGTTTGCAATGTGGGTAGAAAGAAATAAGGGGTGAGATTATGTAGGACCTTGTAAGTCATTGGAAGGAGATTAGATTAAATTTGATGGGAGCTATTGCAAGAGTTTAAAACAGGAAAGGGACATGATCCAATTTATGACTTTAGCAGATTACTCTGGCTGCTCTGTGGAGAAGGGATTATAAATGAATGAGAATGGAAGCAAAGAACCATATAGGAGGTGACCATGTATTTTAGGCGAGAGCTGATGGTGGCTGACTGGGGTTATTTTGGAGATATAGCTAACAGGACTTCTAATAGGAGTGAAGGCAAAAAAAAACAGGTTGACTCCTAGGTTTTTGCCTTGAGCACCTAAATGGGTGTAATTTCCTGACAGAAAGGCCAGGGAAAGCATAGGTCTGAAGAGGAAAATCAAGCATATTAAATTTGGGTATGTTAAGTTTGAATTGCCTAACAGACATCCATGTGAAGATTCTGAGTAGAATATATGGGGAGAAGGCAGGATTGGAGAGAGAAATTTGGGAGGCATCAGCTCATACTTAGAATTTAAAATGATGGAATGTATGAGTTTACCTAGGGAGAATGTATATATATACAGAAGAGCGTTCAGGACTAAGACTCAAAAGAGGACAACACTTAGAAGTGTTGAAGAGAAGGATCCAGCAAAGAAGAATGAGAAAGAATAGTAATAAGAAAATGCCCCAAAAAGGAGGAAGGGTTCAACTGTGTTGAATGTTGTTGAAAATTTAAGTGTTCATTAGATTTGTCAACATGGCTATCTTGACAAGAGCAATTTCAATGGAGTCATGTGAGCAAAAGCCTGAATGAAGTGGGTTCAAAAAAAAAAGAGTAGAGAGGAAGTAGAAAAGCAAGTATAAGACAACTCTTCTGTTTTGCTGAGATAGGGAGCAAAGAGATCAGGATTGAGAGGAATTTTGTTTTCTTTTCTTCTTTTGAGATGGAAGATATTAGAGAATTTTGTGTGCTAATGGAAATACTCTAATAGAGATGGTGAAATCAAGCACCTACTATATTCCAAGTGCTAAGAATACAATAACAAACAAGACAGGTACAGCCCTCACCCTTAAAAAACCAATAAGTAAACAAACAAACAAGTTATTACAAGTTATGGTAAGTGCTTTTAAGGAATCAAACTATTACCTTCAAAATAAAATAAACTAGCTTGAAATCATCACCTTGAATTCTATTAGAAGTAGACAAAAAGCAGGTCTTTAAATAATGGCACACTTCTATGACAAACAGTCTTTCAACAAATATTTTTCAAGCACTTAATATGTTTAATATGTGTCTGGCAGCTGTGCTAGAACATGGAAATACAATGATGAATAATATGTAGTTCCTTCACTTAAGGAGCTTACAGTCTAAGGAAAAAAACAGAATTTGACAGGCAATTATAGTACACTGTGATAAATGCTATGATGTGAATAAGTACAGGAAACTGTGCGAATATAAACAAAGACAACTAGCCTTTTGGGGAAATTAAGGAGAGTTTTCTGAAGGAAGGAATAAATAAGGATTAAAAATAAAATCAGAAGCAGGTAAAGAAAAGAAGATGTGGGCAGGAAAAGTATGTTTGTGGCAGATGGAGCAGTACATGCAGGGCTTGGAGGCAAGAGAAAATATAAAAATCAGTGACCTATAATATAATCTAGTGGTAAAATTGAACTGGATTAAGGAAACTATGTAAAATATACTTAAAAGATTAGACTTTATCTAGGAGGCATTGGAGAACTATTGAGGGATTTTAAGCAGAATACAACATGATCAGATAAGCATTTTAGAAATCTTCTAGATGCACTGTGGAAAATTAACTATAGGGTACAAGCATAAAGGTTGAAAAACTAGTGAGGAGGCTGTTACACTAAACCAGGCAAGAAAGTACAAGCATGAACTCAGACAACATCCATAGGGATGGAGCAGAGTGGAAAATATTGAGGGCTATTTAGGATTCAAAATCAACAGGACTTCATGATTGACTGCCTGTGAGAAAGTATGAGAAAGGGAGGAATCATGGAGGATGGCCAAATTTCTGGCTCAGGTAACTTGGATGGATGAAGATAGCTAACATTGAAAAGGATAACAAGAGGGCCGGCCCAGTGGCGCAGTGGTTAAGTTCGCACGTTCTGCTTCTCGGCGGCCCTGGGTTCGCCAGTTCGGATCCCGGGTGCAGACATGGCACCCCTTGGCTACACCATGCTGTGATAGGCGTCTCACATATAAAGTAGAGGAAGTTGGGCACAGATGTTAGCTCAGGGCCAGGCTTCCTCAGCAAAAAGAGGAGGACTGGCAGTAGTTAGCTCAGGGCTAATCTTCCTCAAAAAAAAAAAAGAAAAAGAAAAAGATAACAGGAGAAAGAACTGCTTCAGGGGGAAGATAAATTCAGCTTAGGGTACACTGAGTATGAGATACCATGTGAACCCCTGTAGTGGTAGTGATGACAAGTAAGCATTTGGCTACACAGATCTAGAACTCCAGCGAGGTCTTGGTTGAGTCCGTGAGTCCAGGATGTTCTATTTTGCACATGATAGAAAACCCACACTAAACTATGGTAAGCAAAAGAAGAAATTGATTAGCTTTCATAATTGGACCTAAAGAAGATGGACAGTTCAGGCACAACTGCATCCAGGGACTGCAACAATGATATCAAGAATCCAGTTTCTCCATCACAGCTCTAATTTCTCTGTGTGAACTCCATTCCCAGAGGGCCTCCATTTGTGGACATAAGATGGCTACCAGCAGCTTTCCTTTCAGGTAAAATCCCTTCAGGTAAAAGTCCAAGAGAAAAAGGAAAAAGTCTGTATCCCAGCATTCCCAGAAAAAGCTCTGAGATTTTAATCGGATAGGATCATTTTGGGCCTTTTTAGAAACCATTCCTGAGCCAATCACTGTGTCAGAGTTGAGAGGGCTGTGTTTATTGACTTAAGCCATTAAAGGCCACCCCTGGAACTAAAGGGTGGGATCAATCCCACCTAAACCATATGGCTTGGAAATTCAAAATCCAGTTAGGATGGAGGTAGAAGGGAATAGAAATACCACGATGAAGAACATGTAGCTCTTTCACTCAAGGAGTTTATAGTCTAGGAAGAAAAAACAGAATTTGACAGGCAATTGTGGTACATTGTGATAAATGCTATGATGATGTGGGCAAGTACAGGATGCTGTGGGAATACCAGGAAAAACAATGAACCTTTTGGGGGACAGATGCAGGGACAGTCACCATACATGTCCACTACCAATATCCATGGCAGTTAGAGACAAAGATTTGGGGTCAACTTCACAGAGATGGTAACTGAAGCCAGTGGTAGATAAGATCACCCAGGGAGACTGTGTAACATGAGAGGAGGCCCTAGACTAGAGCCCTGGGAAACACCAAAATTTAAAGACTGGACAGAGGAAAATGAGCCTTCAGAAGAAATGGAAGAGAAAGAGCTAGAGATGAGATGAAAGCCTGGAGAGTAATGTTTTAAAGAGGTCATTTCTTACTGGAGGCTTTCAAAAAAAGCATACTAATCTGCAACATCATTGGCTAGGAGAGATTGGGTAAAATGAGAACTGAAAAATACTCCTTAGGTTAGCATCAAGGAGGTTGCTGGTAGCCTTGAGAGGCCCAGTGTCAGTGGAGAACCAGAGCTGAAGCCAGACGCTATGTTTGTGGGGCGGGTGGTGCAGAAGGGCTAAGGAGCGAGGATCAGTGAGAAAGCAGAAAGCATTCTTTTTAGGAAAAACGGACCTAAACAGGCGTGGAAAGATTGGGTAGGTAGAAGAACATATGGAATCAAGAAAGGATTTAAGACATAAGATGATTCAACATTTTAAAATTCAGGTTAGAAAGCAACAGTAGAACAGGAGAAGTTGAAGACAATTTTTATCTGGAAAATCTGGGCATTACACCCTTCATATAAACACCTATGCTATATATACAATATGAGATAAAGAGGCTTTTCATAACTGAACCATGATGAATTATACCTTGGAGAGGTGAAAAAAACACCAGTTAAAAATTTTAAATGGAAATGACATCATGCTGGACTTTCATGCATTTTTAACTGGATTTTCTGGTTACTTATTACCTGAGATTATTGTTTTTCATGAAGTACAATTTGAAAATATAATTTTAAATGCTTAAAAATGAAATTCAATTACTTATATGCTGAAGTAAAGGGTTCCAGTCCCAGTGTTAACCTTTTTTATTTTATTTTATTTTCATTTTTCTTTTGTTCTGTTTTGTGTGTGTGTGTGTGTGTATGTGAAGAAGATTTGCCCTGAGCTAACATCTGCTGCCAATCTTCCTCTTTTTGCTTGAGGAAGATTGTCGCTGAGCTAACATCTGTGCCAATCTTCTTCTATTTTGTATGTGGAATGCCACCACAGAATGGTTTGATGAGCTGTGTGTACGTCCACACCTGGGGTTCCAAACCTGTGAACCCTGGACCAACAAAGCAGAGCACGTGAACTTAACCACTACACCATTGGGCTGGTCCCTGAACTCCTTTTTTGATGCTCTTCCAGGGACGTTCACTGAAAGACCTCTGAGGCCTACCCACAGATATAAAGTTAAGAGTATAGGGGCTAGCCCCATGGCCTAGTGGTTAAGTTCGGCTAACTCCAGTTCAGCAGCTCAGGTTGGTGGGTTTGGATCCCAGGCACCAACCTACACCACTCCTCAGCAATGCTGTGGCAGCGACCTACGTATAAATTGGAGGAAGACTGGCACAGATGTTAGCTCAGGGCTAATCTTCCTCAGGGAAAAAAAAAAAAAAAAGTAGCACCTTCTAGGATTTGCCAGCAGGAATCTTTGGATTTCTTGTGTCTGCCAGACAGCAAGCAGGCTTATTCTATTTTCTTTCCTCTTAATCATAATTGATGTCCTCCACCCCTAAGCATTGAATGCCAATTGCATCTTCTTCCTCCCTCCCACCTTTCCCTGTGTTCTAGCTGATAAAACAAAAATGTTGGACTCAAATAGTCCTGCCTTCAAATCTGGGCTCTATCACTTTCTAAATTACATCGGCCTGGCCAAGTATTTACTTCACTGCGCTAGTTATATTTTCCTTCTGAGCAGTGTGAAACTATCAAATGTTTATTTCTTCCAGCCCCACTAGGCCCACCCTAAGAATGAGATGTCATTCCTTCTCCCAGGAACCTACCACCTGAATGGAAACTAATAATTCATTCTCATTCTCTCCCCTCCCCCTTGGATTATAAACTCTTTGAAGGCAGGGAATAGGCCTTCTATTTCATTTCTTTTCCCCCCACTGCTTATCACATTTCTGCTTTTAAAACCACCACAAGAGTTACTGACTTAGTTGAGTACTGATTTAGAATTCAGGTCTAAATTTGGTTCTAGCCTCCATCATTAATGAGCTCTTCTACATTTCCTAACAATTTTCCCATATTTCACCTCCATATGAAAATGTGAAACAAATCAAAAATAGCTTTGTTAGTGGCTTAAGGCCTTGTCAAATTATTTACAAGACTATCTTCACGAGACTCCTATTTAAAAATCAATACTATATGAATTACATAACCTCAAATTGTTCTATCGATTTTAGAACTTTCTTATTTAAGCAGCTTTGAAATTTTTACTCTTACTTACTTTTATGTATAATAACATTAGTATAACCATCAGAGCTAAAATCTCACCAACAGTTATACAAGTGTACTATGTTCACTGACAACAGGATTGCTGCTTTTTAGGAAGCGCGTTGTCAGGATGCCACAACAAATTATATTACCAAAAAAAAGACCAACCTGCGGATAGTATTAGCTAAACAAAGTTGTTGGGGATGGGGTAATATATTCAATACTTAGTGTATGATTGCTTGTACATATTATACATTCCCTGCTTCAGCAAACCTTGAGTATAGAGTTTCTTTCAGTCAGACCTGGAATTAGGTCTCTCACTCATGTGGTTTCAATTAAGTTCTGTTAAAAATAGCTCGTAATATAAGCATTTTCATTTTTAGCGCTTCAACAACTTTACTACTTTTAGTCCATAGAAAGGATAAACTTTGGGAAAAAACAATCAAAGGAAGTTACATAGTACTCTGGTGATGGCTCTTTATAGATAGCTGGAATCATCTATTTAGTGTACAGTCTTCTAATATAAGCTATCTGTTCTTATTTTACAACACAAATACATATGTATTGAAGAAGCATAAAGAAAAATATTTCCTTCTTAACTATTAAAGGTAAATTACAAGAATCTCAGTAGAATTTCAACACCAGGATATATCACAAATAATTAGAGGTTTCTGATCTTTGAATTTCATGCAATTTCAGGCAGACATTTTGCTTCACAGACTTTGACTTCATATTCATGTCTTCAAAGTAGTTTAAATTCAGCCACAGCTGCTACATCCTGCCATTTGTTTTTATTATAATATCTGGAGAAAAAAATATAGCAATAGATTACTTCATATACATCACAAGCAGGTGTCCCATAGTTACAAATAACCAGTCCCTGAAGGAACGAACTCTTTTTTTTTTTTTTTGAGGACGATTAGCCCTGAGCTAACTACTGCCAGTCCTCCTCTTTTTGCTGAGGAAGACTGCTCCTGAGCTAACATCCGTGCCCATCTTCCTCTACTTTATATATGGGACACCTACCACAGCATGGCGTGCCAAGTGGTGCCACGTCCGCACCCAGGATCCAAACCAGGGAACCCTGGGCCGCCGAGAAGCGGAACGTGTGAAGTTAACCACTGTGCCACTGGGCCGGCCCCTGAAGGAGAAAACTCTTGATGCCCAGGCCACTCTAGTTTCACCCAGTCAAGCCTTAGGAAACAATTCCAGAGGCCATTGGAAAAAAAAAAGGAATAGCTGGCTCACTCCTTCCTGAACATGCTGAGAACACTTCTCTTTGGAGACACAAAGAGACCTGCTCAATAACATTCCAGTGGAAAGTGTAGCAAAGACAGCTGTCTGGGGCCATCATAAGGCCTCTAACCCCTGCCTTGTAACCTGGAGGAATTGATCCAGTTGTGCTTCTCATCCCTGCCTCCTCAGCCACCACCCAGGAAGAAGCCTCTCACATTTTCCTACCCACCATTCCTTTGCATTCTCCTACTCTTTGTTGTAGCTGAACCCACGTTCTTCCCAGTACAGAATTCTGGGGCTTCCCCCCATATCTTGTACCAGGAGATCCAGAGTAGAGGCAGCTTTACCTACTCCCATTGCCACTTTCTTACTAAGATACACGTCTTCCCCTGGCCTAATCAGCCTATATCAATGGTTCTCAAACTTCGTTGCACCTTAGAATTACCTGAGCTTTTAAAAATCCTTGATATCCAGGCCATACTCCATACCAATTAGATCAGAATCTCTGGGCAAGGGACTCAAATATCCAGGAAAGTCTGATGTGCAGCTAAGTTTGAACACGAGACCTATATTTTTGCTATTCAAAGTGTGGCCCATGGACCAGTAACTTCATCATCACCTAGCAGTTTATTAGAAATGTAGAATCGTGGGCTCCATTCCAGACCTACTGAATCAAAATCTCCATTTTAACGGGATCCTTAAACAATTCACGACTGTATTAAAGTTTGGGAAGCACTGGCTATTCTACCCTCTACTCCTCCTTACTGTTGTCTTTACTGACCTCAGACACTGTCTGCTCATTTATTAAAGGCTTTGGAAACTGGGCCACAGTCATCCTCTGCATACCAACTTTTTTTTTTTTTGAGGAAGATTAGCCCTGAGCTAACCACCACCGATCCTCCTCCTTTTTGCTGAGGAAGACGGGCCCTGAGCTAACATCCATGCCCATCTTCCTCCACCTTATATGTGGGACGCCCACCACAGCATGGCATGCCAAGTGATGCCATGTCCGCACCCAGGATGTGAACCAGCGAACCCTGGGCCGCCAAGAAGCAGAATGTGCGAACTTAACCGCTGTGCCACCAGGCCGGCCCCTGCATACCAACTTTTGAGTAACTTCCTATTGGGTAAACAGCCCATTCAACTACCTAGTCTCACCTACCCCTGCTTAGCCTTCATACTTCCAGGGCTATGTCCTATATTTTCCCCTGACATCACCTAGAACGCATAATTTCTGATACTTCACAATACAAGAGACTCAGGAGTCATCCTCTAACTATCCTTCTCTTTCACTACCCTGTACTAGTACCTAATCAGCCACTAAGCCCTGACAATTATACCAATAAACATTTTTAGTTTACACTGGTTCTAAACCCCCAGATTTCCTGAATAAAATCACTGAAGAAGCAATGACCTGGGAATTTGCATCATTTTTTAAAAATTCCCTAGGTGGTCTGAGTACCACAATTTGAGATACAAAGCTCAGATCCTTATTTTCTCAACTTTGTTCATCAGGACTTTTGCAAAACTCCCAGCTGATCTTTCTGCTTCCAGGTTCATTTCTTTGCAAATTACTCCACACTTCTAGCCAGAATGATCTAATTAAAAAGCAATTTGCGGGGCTGGCCCCGTGGCCGAGTGGTTAAGTTCGCGCACTCCGCTGCAGGCGGCCCAGTGTTTCGTCGGTTCGAATCCTGGGCGCGGACATGGCACTGCTCGTCAGACTACGCTGAGGCAGCGTCCCACATGCCACAACTAGAGGAACCCACAACGAAGAATACACAACTATGTACCAGGGGGCTTTGGGGAGAAAAAGGAAAAAATAAAATCTTTAAAAAGCAATTTGCCCAGGATACAGTCAAAAGTCAGTATGGCATAGGAGGCTCTCCACGATCTGACCCCTGATTACTACTCAAGACTAAGTTCTCAGAGAGTCCAATCTCTACTCCAGCCGAACATAACTACTTTCAGTTCCTTAACTACCCGAGGATGCTTTAAAGCCTCTGTGCATTTATTTATGCCGGTGCCTCTGCCTAGAAGGCCTATGCTCAGCATACCCCTGAGGGCTTCAGGTCATCCTTCAGAGCATTTCCTATCTTCCCTATGTACCCCAACAGGGTCTCACATATAACTCTATGAAAGCACCTGTGCCTCCTCTGGACTTGTATTACGTATCTGACTTCCTCTCTGAGCTACGAACTTCATAAAGACAACTATGTCTTTATCTTAATATTACCAGCAACTAACTGCATGTAGCACATGACATATAGACTCAATAAATATTTGCTGAATGAATGAACCAAACAACTGCAGAACTTCATCTTTTTATTCTATAGCTACATGACACCAAATCAACAGGCTTAAAAGGTCTCCATGATGTCAAGTTTGATTTCTTTTTCCCCAACAAACTAACTGGCATACTTCATTTCTGTATTTGTATTAGATCAATGTGTCTGTGTCAAGGACTACACTTAACTGATATATTTTTTACATGAGATAGCATAACCAAATCTATCATCAAATACAGTAACGTAGCACATATTTTAGGTTTGTTGTAAATTAATAAAAACAAAGGAATAGTTTTCAAAGAGAGAAAAGGAAATGTAGTGAGCTAGACTTCAGGAATTAACCTAACCTATAGAAGCAAATAATAATTATTGTAAAACGAATAATGAATATTCTACTACCAGCTTGAGATATGAATTTATAACACATCATTTATCATCTCTTCTGGAAATCAAAATAAAATATAAATCTTAAAATCTTACTATAAGGATAGCTACAGGTTCTGTCTGATTTTCCAAAAGGTATTGTTAGCTTGGAAGTGTTCCCTGACACTTCAAAGCAAAGTTAAAAGTATCCCCTCCTGGGTTCTTATAATGCCTTGTTCTACTTCTAGCTTATCACCTTATAGAGAACACTGTGACTATTTCATCACTAGTCTGTAAACCCCAGAGAGCTATGGTTGTACTCATATCCTAGCTAATATTGCAGTGCCGAATGCATGCTTGTTGGACAAATTAAAGTACCAATATATTAAACATCCATTGCTATAACTGTAAGAAGTACAAAGCGATGATTGCCCAAGCCTTTTCTTGGCACAAAAAAAAAAAGTCTCTGTTTAAGTAGAATACAGAAGCCCAATGTGCAAAGCAAAGAGAAGTAAAACTGCTTTGTCTGGCTGGATGAACTGGGAAACTCAGAGCCCTATCTACTGTACCCACCATCTCCTATTTGACAACCAACCAGTCAAATTACTGAAAACTGAGAAAGCTAAGCAGTAGTTCTAATTCAGCCAGTAATTAGCTGTGTGAACGTGGGCAAGTCACTTATTGATTTGGCCAGGTCATTTTTCTCACATGTAAAATGAGCAAAATAGATTAGATCATTATATGCTTTCAAATTTTAGACCTTATTGGATATCCCTTTGAGCGGTCATCAAATTGCAGATTCCTGTGCCATATCTCTAGAGATTATAATTTACCAGGTCTACAGTGATTCTGGTGCAGGTAGTCAGAGGACCACACATTGAGAAACCTTGGGCTAGATGTTTACTAAGGCTCTTCTGTCTGTCTGTCACCATTCTTGGACCTCTTCTTGCCCACACCACCTCCTCTCTCACATCTTTTTTGGACTCCTATAGTGGTGTACTTTCACCAAATTTTTTCTTTAATCAGCATAGTGCCAGTTATTAATGAACAAGCAGCATACTGAACAGGGGTCCTAGACTATCAAAAGTGAACCTCACTCTGTAGTCCTGATTAGATTACTGCCAAACTAGCTAAAATGTTAAATGCCAGCACTAAAAATAGGCTGCTGCATGTTTAAAATAACATGACCACCAGTTAGCTTGTGGCTTTGCTATTTTTACTAAAGGAAAGGAGAGACAAGTGGCCAGAGGTTGAAAGGTAATTACTTAAATGAACAGGCTGCTAAATAAGGTGAGAGCCTAGAAAGAAGCCAGGAGGTGGCACAATTGATTCAACATGCATCAGGGGGTCTTTCTGTAAATTAAACTAAAAATTTTGGTCTGAACACTCAAAAGAACTTCCCAGACACATTTCTGTTTTGATTTATTGCACATTTAAACCCAGAATTGTGACATTAGCTGATGTCATAAAGAAAGATGAAAGGCCATAAAGATCAAATTAAAGAAAGTTTCCCTATTTTTACATTTTAACTTTTTACTAAAGTATAGCATACACACAGAGAAGTACACATAGGTGTACTGTACGGCTTGATGGGTTTTCACAAATTTAACGCACTCATGTAACCAGCATTCAGATAATGAAACAGAACACTACCAGCACCGTAGAATTCCCTCTTATAATCCTTTCGAGTTCATACCCCCACCCCAACAAGGACACTCACTATGGTTATTTCCATCATAGTTTAGTTTTGCCTACTTTGTACTAAATATAAGTAATATTAAATGCACTCTATTGTGTCTGACTCCTTATGTGAGATTCATCAATATTGTTACATGTAACTGTACATTGTTGATTCTCACTGCTATATAGCACTCCAAAGAATGAATATATCACAGCTTTTTTTATCCATTCCACTGCTGATGGCCATTTGGATAGTTTCCAGTTTGGGGCTTTTATCAACAGAGCTGCTACGAACATTCTAGTATACATCTTTTGATGAACATATGTACATATTACAGTTGGATATATTCCTGGAAGTGGAATTTCTGGGTCTCTTTGCACCTCAGCAAAATTTCTAAGGGTCCAGTGATACAAGAGATATGTCTCCTAAGGTAAAGGATAAGTTGTCGCATCTGGCCCCTCCTATAACAAAAAAAGAGGCACAATGCATAGTGGGCCTTTTTAGATTTTGGAGTCAACATAGTCCTCATTTGAGTGTACTAATCCAGCCCATTTACTAAGTGACCTAAAAAGATGCTGGTTTTGAGGGTCTCAGAACAAAGAAAAGGCTCTGCAACAAATCCTGGCTACTGTGCAAGATAATCTGCCACTTGTACCATATTGATCCAGCAGATCCAATGGTGTTTGAAGTATCAGCGGCAGGTACAGATGCTGTTTGGAGCCTGTAGGTGAATCACAGCACAGGCCCTTAGGATTCTGGAGCAAAGCCCTGCCATCCTCTGTGGATAACTACTCTCTCTCTCTGTTTTTTTTTTCTTTTTTTTGAGAAACAGCTTTTGGCCTGCTCCTGGGCCTTAACAGAGACTGAATGCTTAACCATGAGCCACCAAGTTTCAAAGAGAGACAAGCTGCTCATCATGAATTGTGAGTTGTCTGATGCTTTAAAGTTGGCTGTGAAGAGCAGCACTCTGTTATCATATGAAAATGGTGTCTACAAGATTGGACTCAAGCAGGCTCTGAAGGCACAAATTATACAAGGAAGTGGCCCAAATGTCCATGGCTCCTACTCCTGCTACATTACCTTCTCTCTTCCAGCCTACACTCATGGCATCATGGGGAGTTCTCTACGATCAGTTGACTGCGAAAAAGAAAACTCAGCCTTGGTTTACAGATGGTTCTGCATGATATGCAGGCACCACCTGAAACTGGACAGCTACAGCACTACAGCTGCTTTCTGGGATATCCCTGAAGGAAACTGGTGAAGTGATATCCTCCCGGTGGGCAGAACTTTGAGCACTGCCCCTCGTTATTCACTATGTTGGGGAAGAAAAAATCGTCAGATATACAATTATATACTGATTCATGGGCTGTGGCCAATAGTTAGGCTGGATGGTCAGGGACTTGGAAGGGACATGACTGGAAAATTTATGACAAGGAAATCTAGGGAAAAGGCATGTGGATAAGACTCTCTGAATGGGCAAAAAATGTGAAGATATCTGTGCCTCATGTGAATGCTCACCAAAGGGTGAGCTCAGCAGAGGAGGATTTTAATTATCAAGTGGATAAGATGACCTGTTTTGTGGGTACAAGTTAGCCTCTTTCCCAAGCCACTTCTGTCATTGCCCAATAAGATGATAAACAAACTGGCTACGGTGGCAGGGATGGAGGTTATGCATGGGCTCAACAACATGGACTTCCACTTACCAAAGTCAACCTGGCTACAGCCACTGCTCAGTACCTAATCTGTCAGCAGCAGAGGCCAGTACCTAGTCCCCATTATGGCACCATTCCCTGGATTGATCAGCCAGCTACCTGGTGGCAGGTTGATTACATTGGACCATTTCCATCAGGGAAGGGGAAGCATTTTATTCTTACTAGAATAGACACTTAAACTGGATATAGATTTGCCTTCCTGCACACAATGCTTCTGCCAAAACCACCATCCAAGGACTTACAGAATATGTTATCCACCATCATGGTATCCCATATAGCATTGCTTCCGATCAAGGAACTCACTTCACAGCAAAAGAAGTATGGCAATAGGCCCAAGCTCATGGAATTCACTGGTCTTACCATGTTCCCTACCATCCTGAGGCAGCTGGTTTGATAGAATGGTGGAATGGCCTTTTTGAAGACTCATTTACAGCACCAGCTAGGTAGCAATACCCTTCAGGCTTGGGGCAAGGTTCTCCACAAGGTTGTATATGCTTTGAATCAGCATCCAATATGGTGCTGTTTCTTCCATAGCCAGGATTTACAAGTCCAGGATCGAGGGGTGGAAATGGAAGTGGGATCATTCAATATTACCCCTGGTGACCCACGAGCAAAATGTTTGCTTCCTGTTCCCATGACTTTACGCTCTATTGGCCTAGAGGTCTTAGTTCCAAAGGGAGGAATGCGTCCACCAGGAGACACAACAGTGATTCCATTGAACTGAAAGTTGAGACTGCCACCTGGCCACTATGGGCTTCTCATGCCTCTGAGTGAACAGGCAAAGAAGGGAGTTTTACTGTGTTGGCTGTGCGGATTGATCCTGATTTCAAAGGGGAAATTGGACTACTACTCCACAGTGGAGGTAAGGAAAAGTATATCTGGAGTACAAGAGATCCCTTAGGGCATCTCTTACTATTGCCATGCCCTGTGATTGAAGTCAACGGAAAACTACAACAACCCAACACAAACAGGACTACTAATGGCTCAGACCCTTCAGAAACGAGGGTCTGTGTCACCCAACCAGTTAAAGAACCACGACCAGCTGAAGTGCTTGCTGAGGGCAAAGGGAATACAGAATGGGTAGTGGAGGAAGACAGTTATAAATACCAGTTACAACCACATGACTAGTTAAGCAAATATCTTTGTTTTCTTCCCTGTCTTATCCCCATACTATCTAACATAAGATGCATTAATAATAGTCAAATTTATATCACAGTACTCGAATTATGGGATATCAAGGAGAAGAGTAAACTTCACCCAAGGATTCTGCATCCTCTTCTAGGGAAGGAGTTAGCATATTTTTGGTTGTTTGTAGGAGAGTTGTATTAGATTACACAGAAGTGTGACTTTGTTATTGTCTTTATTTGGGGATTAAATACAGTTTAAGGAAATGTGTGTTTAGAAGCCTTGAAAGATTGAATTCCTCTCCACCACTTGGTAGCAGTATGATCTTGGACAAATTGCATACTACTTTAGGCCTCAGATTCTTCATATATAAAATGAGGATAATAGTACACATTCTATCTATCATAAAGTCATAGTGAAAAACAAATGAGATATAATAAGGTGCTTAGCTCAATGCTTTTCATAGAGGAAGTGCTCAACCAACGTTAAGTGAATGTAAAAATATCTCCATATCTTTAAAAAGAATGCTACTAAAAATGAAACTCAACAACGCTAAATTTCAAAAGTTATAAGAGGAAGTATCCTAGATAAATACATTTTAAATCAACAGCATCAGCTAATTTTTCAAAAGATGAAGTATTTGACTTTCAAAAAGTTATTTTACTCAGGTTCTGAAACCAATTAGTGTCTGGAGTGGAGTAACCATTTCATAAATGCTTTGTATTGTTAATATCTATGAAATGTGAATATTGAGACTATTTATCTTTGAAATAAAACAACATACAAAAGTAGTACTGACCAAACTTTTTACAACTTTATCATTTTCGCTGTGTGCAAGAACCCCCAGAAGACAATTTATAACTGCCCTTCCTGTGTATATAAGGAATTTACAATGAAAAAATGTTTTATATCTTCCAAAAAGTAGGCTCCGTATTCATACTATAGTACCTTGAGGAATATCTTTAGGAGGAGAATATGTCTTCTTCTTTACAATAACACTTTTACTTTTCACTTGTCTAGTTCCTGGTGATGCTCTAATAATATAACAGACTTCTGATGTTTTTGAAGGAACCTGAGAAAGAAAAAAAAAAAAGCAGATATTTCAGAATTTTTCCTTCCAGGTCTGCCTGTATGTTGTTTTATTTCAAAGATAAATAGTCTCAATATTCACATTTCATAGATATTAACAATACAAAGCATTTATGAAATGGTTACTCCACTCCAGACACTAATTGGTTTTCAAACATTTGCTTATTTTCAAACATTTTGCTTATTTAATACTCACAAGAACCAGGCAAGGTGGATTATATTATCCCCATTTGTAAAATGAAGAAACTTAGGTTCATAGAGGTTGGACAACTTATTTAAGGACAGAGAGATAGTAATGACAGAGTTGAGATTCAAGCACCACAAAGTGGGAGAGAAAGTTTACATGATTTACTGAACTAAAACACAAATTTAAATTTAATTCTGTGTCAAACACTAAATTTCTTTGATTTCCCAATTCAGTTAATTTTGACAATTTCCTATCAAGCAGTCTCTTGAATAAAGAAATACCACATCTTTCAGAAGTGACATATCTTACTTCTTAGAACTCAGAAGTAGAGATATGTATTTATCAAGGGCTACCCCATTTTAAAGAAAGCCTGCATGGAAACCTCTTCTACTGTAAAATTCATATCATCCTCTGTGGTGTACGTCTGCTATTTTCCTGCCCAGCATTCATTTTCCATCCTTCTGGTACTAAATAGTACTACAGTTTTCTTGGAAGAATCTACTCATTCTACCAGCCTGCACACCACTCCTTCCTTATAGATCAGGTGGAGCTGAGAACATTTCTGAGCACTGAGATGGCCACATGACCCAGCCTAGCCAATCAATGTATTCCATGCCCCTGGACATAGTGACTGGCTCAGACAAGGACACTGTAAATGGGCCAGCAGGAAGAAGGAAATGCTGAACCTGATATTCTGGTACTAATCCAGAATCCTTAAAGGGGTCCAAAGTGGTCCCAGATTGATACCCAACCCTAGCTATAGCTTTTGTAGTAGAAACAGATCAAATCCTCTTAGGAAGATGGGATCCCCAATTTGGGCCCATAAGATTCTTATCAAATAAGAGCAAGGAAATAAATGATAAAGGTCAAGGTCAGTGTCAGAGTTGTTCTTCAAGATTCAGCTCAGAATATTTCCAAACAGAAATGATGGCCAAAGCACATTTCACCTTCTCCTATAGTTTCATTATAACAACAATAAAGGAAGTACCAAACTCACGAGAAATCAAGCTAACACGTGTAAGACCGTACAGAAATATCAAACAATGGATTTAAGCCGCCAGAACATCAGATATTAGAACTGTCAAATCAGAGAGAATAACAATGTATGAAATGATTAAAAAATTAACCACTGAAATCTCACAGATGAGCAAGTAATAAGAAACTATCAGGCACAAAAAGCAGATTTGAAAAAAAAACGAGAACTTCTTGAAATGAAAAATAAAATTCTTGGGGCCGGCCCCGTGGCCAAGTGGTTAAGATTGAGCACTCCGCTTCGGCGGCCCAGGCTTTCGCCCGTTTGGATCTGGGGCACGGACATGGTATCACTCATCAGGCCATGCTGAGGCGGCATCCCACGTGCCACAACTAGAAGGACCCACAACTAAAATATACAACTATGTACCAGGGGGATTTGGGGAAAAAAAAAAAAAAGACGATTGGCAACAGTTGTTAGCTCAGGTGCCAATCTTAAAAAAAGAAAAATTGCTGAAATAAAAAATTCAGTGGGAGGCTTAAGCAGTAGAAATGACAGCTGAAGAGAGAATTAATGAAGAAATTACCCAGAATACAACAAATAAATGTAAAATATTCAAGAGAGGTTGAAAGATATGGAGGATAGAAAGAGGCTTAACATGCTAATTACCATTCCAGAGAGAATAAAACAGGTAACAGCTAAGAAATTTCACAAATTGATGAGAGATATGAGTCCACAGATTCAGGAAGCCCAATATCTCAAGCAAAATTAGAATTAAAAAAGAACAGCAAACAAAAATGTTAATCAATTTATATACACATTCCAGTGAAATTATACCATATCCAAGATAAGGAGAACTTAAAAGAAGCCAGAAAGAAAAGATATATCAGTCCCCAAGACTACCATTAGGCTCAACAATTTGCTAAAAGGACTCAGAGGATTCAGAAAAGCTGTTATACTCCCAGTTATGGTTTATTACAGCACAAGGATACAGAATAAAATCAGCAAAGCGAAAAGGCACATAGAGTTGAATCCAGAAGGACAAGCTTCCAGTTGTCCTCTCCAACTTGAGTCACATGGACAGCATTTAATTCTTCCATATGCTAAATGTCGGCAACCAGGGAAGCTCAGTGAGCCTTGACATTAGAGTTTTTATTTGGAGTCAGTCACATAAGCATGTGGGGCCTGTGTGATTGACCTGAGCTACTCAGACCCCAGTCCCCCAGAGGTCAAACTGATACAAGGTGGCCCAAAGTCTCAGGCATTAGGGTGTTTACCATAAATCACATTGTTATCAGAAACTATCTGGCTGTGGCTCAGGACATACAAAGACACTCTTATCAGGCAGCATACTTCAAGGGCTCAGAGGTCATCTCCCAGGAGCCTTGCCCCAAGACAGTCCTGAGGATCTTGGGAATGTGCAGGCTTGCTGAGCTAACCCTTTCCAGCATACATATAATTTACAAGGAATGAAAGTTAGACTAACATGGGCCAGCCCAGTAGCACAGCGGTTAAGTGCACACATTCTGCTTTGGGGTCCAGGGGTTCGCTGGTTGGATCCTGGGTGCGGACACAGCACCGCTTGGCACGCCATGCTGTGGTAGGTGTCCCATGTATAAAGTGGAGGAGGATGGGCACGGATGTTAGCTCAGGGACAGTCTTCCTCGGAAAAAAGAGAAGGATTGGCAGCAGTTAGCTCAGGGCTGATCTTCCTCAAAAAACAAACAAAAAAAGAAAGTTAGACTAACAGAAGAGTCGCAAAAGCAACATGGAAGTCAGAAGACAGTGGAACGATACCACTGATCAAAGAGCAGAGAGAAAAATCACTGTCAATACAGAAGTATGTACCTAATAGATGCGGAAAAAATATTTAATAAAAATCATATTCACATCATAGTGAACTAGAAATATGGGGAAGTTCTCAACCTAGTTAAGGATGTTGGTGGTCTTGTGTATTGTTTCTCAAAGATTTTTGGTTTTCCTTGGAGAAGATGCACTCTCTGGCTCCCTTGTGGTTTAGTAAGGCCACGTGACTATTTCTGGCCAGCAAGTTTTTTTTTCCTTTTTCAAGTGCAATGCCTTTTAATACACAGTAAATAAGTACATGATACAAAGTGATACTTTGACATCACAGTTTCAGACGAAGACATTCCCCCAATTTATTCTATGTTTCTAGGTAGAAATTATGATGTGGAACACATTTGAATTGTGCACTGTATTTGGAGAATACATAATGTTTTACTCTGTATAGCATTTCATATGTCTCTTCAGTCTATCGTCTATGCACACTTTTCCCACATGTTTCAAAGTATTTTGCTGTTTAGTCTTTTAAAATTTTTTTTTTTATTTTTTAAGGATTGGCCCTGAGCTAACATTTGTTGCCAATCTTCCTGTTTTTTTTATCTTCTCCCCAAAGCCCCCCAGTAAATAGTTGTATGTTTTAGTTGTAGGTCCTTCTAGTCCTGCTATGTGGGATGCTGCCTCAGCACAGCTTGATGAGTGGTGCCAGGTCCACACCCAGGATCTGAGCCTGTGAAACCCCAGGCTGCCGAGGCCAAGTGCGTGAAATTAACCTCTTGGCCATGGGGCCAGCCCCTGATGTTTAGTCTTTACTTTTCCCTCCAGGCATTTTATGTGTGTTATAACTTTATTTTTATGTTGGCTTAAGTGAAGCCCTCAAAAATCTTAAAAAATTGGTAAAGAAAAATATAATATCACCTTTAAAGAATAACTCATTTGCATCTTTCCTCTCCCAACCCCCACCAAATATTTTTGTTTGTTTGTTTGTTTTTGTTTTGGTGAGGAAGGTTGGCCCTGAGCTAACATCTGTTGCCAATCTCCCTCTTTTTGCTTGAGGAAGATTTGCCCTGAGCTAACATCTGTGCCAACCTTCTTCTATTTTGTTTGTGGGTGCTGCCGCAGCATGGCTTGATAAGCAGTGTGTAGGTCTACACCCGGGATCCAGGCTGGCGAACCTGGGCCATCGAAGCAGAGCAGGCAAACTTAATCACTACACCACTGTAGCCAGTGAGTTTTGAGCAGAAGTAATGAATGTCATTTCCAGGCTAGAATGTTTAATTGCCAAGGTAAGAAGACCTTTCAGAGCTTTCTTTTTTCACTAGCATAGTTTCAAGCAATATTCAAGATGGTGGCTGCTCTGTCAGCTACAATGAGCAGAGCCCTTAGTCAACCCAATGGAGGTATAGCATAAGCAAGAAATTAACCTTTATTGTTTTAGCTGCTAAAATCTTTTGAGTTATTTGTTACCACAGCTTATTCTGCTTAGTACAAGTTATCTATAAAATAAGTTGCACAAGCTTTAATCTTAACAGTGATTCTTTGAAAAAAATTTCCCTTAAGATCCCACATAAGAAATATGTTATACTGGAGGTCTTATCCAGGACAATAAAGTACAATTCACAGGGAAGAAATAAAATTGTTATTATTCACTTACGATATGATTGTCTACATAGAAAATCCAAAAGAATCTACAGACATATATTAGCATTAATAAGATTTAGCAGGGTTCTGGTGATAAACAAATATGCACAAATCAATTGTATTTCTATACTCCCTTAGTGAAAATTAGAAAATGTAACTTACAAAAAGATATAATTTACAATAGCATCAAATAATATAAAATACCTAGGAATATGTCTACCAAAAAAATGCAAGATCATTCTGGTTATGATAAAAATCTATTGAAAAATATTAAAGAACACCTAAATATATGAGGAGATATACTACATTCATGGAAAGAAAGATTTAGTAAAGATGTTAGTTCCAAAAAATAAAAATAAAAGTAGAGGAATGAATGACACAA